CAGAATGTTGTGCTCTCACTCTGTTATTATGACTCAATGTCTTTGTGTTGTATTTCATCTATCTGTGCTTCTCTTAGACGTGAGAGATCGCTGCTCTGAGCTCAGCTGCTCTGAGGATGAATGGTGTGGGAAGAAAATGGTGTTTATGGCTGTATGTGTAACGACGACCTACCCAGACCACAAGCTGACTCTTTTGGTTGGTAACATTCCACAACAGAATGTGAAATATTATATATTTTTTCTTTTTGGTCTATTACATTTTCTTTTTTAATACTTCTGACAATCTTTTGGATGTTTTCTTTTCCAGATTTCTCAGAAACCTGTGAAAGCAGCTCTGGCTCCTTGTCTGTGTCTCGCTGTCAGCTCTATGAGGCTGGTTTTTCAGCTGACGTCTTACACCTCAATGATCCCCGCTGCAAAGGAATGGTCCGGAATGGCAGAGAGGAATTCCATTTTGATAACAATGAACACATCTGTGGCACAAATCTTGTGGTAAAACAAATTAGACAAATTATGTATAATCCAAACATGTGTAGTGTCTCATAGACCCAAAGAATTGGATTGACTGATACAAATTTCTTGGGGGTTTTATATTTAATAATTTTACTTTAATAAATGTTTTTTTAACAGCTTGAAATTTTAACAGCTTTAATGTACGTCAAAATGTTATGCATGTTGTTCACAGGCCAACGGCACCCACTTTATCTATGATAACTTTATTCTGGGGACACCGAGGTCAGAAGGTCTCATCAGCAGAGAGAAAATCCTTAAGCTTTCTTTCAGCTGTGTTTATCCACAAACACAAACACTTTCCATGAATGTGGAAATCAACCCAGTGGAGACGTGAGAGTCACATAATAAATGTTTTTTTAACAGCTTGAATTCAATTTAATGTACATGTCAAAATGTTATGCATGTTGTTCAAAGGCCAACGGCACCCACTTTATCTATGATAACTTTATTCTGGGGACACCGAGGTCAGAAGGTCTCATCAGCAGAGAGAAAATCCTTAAGCTTTCTTTATTTTATTTGTTTATCCACAAACACAAACACTTTCAATGAATGTGGAAATCAACCCAGTGGAGACGTGAGAGTCACATACAAACTCTGATTCCAGCTGTACTGTTTTATTAAAGGAGTAGAATTTTAGTCGTAAAGCTTAGTAGTTTTAACACAGATCTGTCCATTATTTCAACAGTGTTGTGCACAAGATGCTCCCCGCTGGTGAAGGGAGATATCAGGTTCGGATGACTCCATATGAGGATGATGAGTTTACCCGGCCCTTCACTGGTAAAGTGGATGCAGAGCTCGACCAGAAGATGAATGTGGAAGTTCGTGTTGAGGGGGTTGACAGCCGTCAGTTTGCCCTGGCGATGGACACGTGTTGGGCTACGCCTGTGAATGATCCTGATTACAGTCTCCGCTGGGATCTCATCATTAGAGAGTAAAGCGATATTGTTTTTTCTGTTCCTTAAAGCTCAGTCTTAACTCACTGTAATATTTTTAACAGTAACTTTTGATCTGCACATAGACTGAATAAATAATAATCCATATCCTTTTTAAGATGACCTGACATATTATCTTCCAATATTGCAGTACTAATGCAAAGAATTCCATTTATTGTATATAGAATGCTAATGTGTGATGATTTTCAGGAAATCGCTTTTGAGTTGAATGTCTCTCAAGTAAAAGAAATTAATTTGGTGATTCTCAGGTGTCCCAATCCAAATGACGACAGAGTGGAGCTGCTGCAGAACGGCGTCTCGACATCCAGCCGTTTCTCCTTCAGGATGTTTGTCTTCACTGCAAACTCCACTAAGCTTTACCTGCACTGTGCTGTTCACCTTTGCCTTCTGTCGAGCAATCGCTGCTCTATGGTGAGTTTAGAAAGCCTCTCATAATTAATAAAAATGTGAGGATATGTTTCTGTGTAGCTATAGAACTAATCTATGGAAATGTATCTCCATAGTTAAATGTAATGGTTAAATTGTAAAGGTTTAAGATTTTACTATTGATAAACCCCAGTAAATCAAACATTAATTATTGGAAGAAAAATGTTACCCTTAATGTCCATGGTGGTAAGGGTTGTCCTCTGCTGGAGAATTTTGTGCACTCCTTTATGTTTCATGTTTGTCCAGTGATATTTAACAGGGATTCACAATGCTGGATTTTCTCTTTTAGGACTGTAATTCTGGACATCACTGGAGAGAGCACAGGTCTCTGGATTTCCATGACAGTGCTTCCATATCCATGGGTCCTCTGATTTTGTCTGAAGGGAACACAGGTGAATATTTTGTTTATTTAATCATTTGTAAATTAAGGTTTCTGTTGACATTATACATTACAATTCACTGTGCATTATATTCCCTGTTCACAGATAAGTGGGTCCCAGAGCAAGTGGCTGAATGGGATCATGGGTAGGCTGGACAGTGGCCACCCAGATGTTTGTTTTGCTCACCCAAGCATCTGAGTGATTGTAACTGTGTCGGAAGGGCACTGTACCTAGCATTGCTGCACAAAAACAGAGCAATGAGCATAATTCCGTCTTCATTTTGGCCAATATATGGGACATTGTGGCTAACACAAGACAGCTGCATTTTTGGCAACACTATCTGTATTCATAGCAGCTGCTGGCTTACACTGGTCACGTCAACGAGTGTGTCTAAACAACCGACTTTACTTCCAAGTTTTAAGCATGCAAAGATAAAACAATACACCTTTACTAGGCTAGTTAACTGAAATGAAACGATCAACTGCACAAACCTCTGCCGTGACTTGCTAGTCGTGTCCTCTTTTGGAAGACCAAACAAAGTAGTTTCGCTTTCACAACGAAACAGCATCACACACCGCGCCTTGAGTGAGTGGTGGCAGGCGGGCTTGCAGCAACCACATGTGAAGACCCCGGGCTGGACTCCGCTTCGTCCACGGTGAAAGCCGATCCGGCAATCCACAGCGCGAAGTTGATGTATTTCCTCAGCGACCAGCATGGATCAGCTCCAGGCATGACGAAGCGGATATCGTCCTCTTTTGGAAGGCCAAACAAAGTAGTTTCGCTTTCACAACGAAACACACAGCGCCTTCACGACATGGCGGCAACAACAATACTACAGCGAGAATAAAAGTTACGCCTTCTTTCTTTGCGTGAACATTTGGGCGGCGTTATGCAAATTTTTCCACATCGTGATGTAGATATGTGGGGGCGTGGTAGAACGAGCTGTTTTAGGTAGGCGTGGTTGACTCTTAACTTTTATAAAGAATATCTCTTTGGATTTGAGACTTTAGTCTTTGCAACTTTACAGACCTTCTTTATGCACCAAGAGCTTGTAACACTCCAAAGAGAAAGGAAAAATTGAAATCGCATCATATGACCCCTTTTATCTACGTTGATGTCAAGTCAGCATTTGTTTTATAACGATTTAATCAGATTATATAGATAGATGAGGTAGCTGATCAAAAACAAGGTGAGATTTATAAGGCTTTCATAAAACAAAGCTGCTAATACAAATTATGTGTTGTCATATTCTTATTCCAGGAGTAACTGAATAATATTCTATTATTTTAGAATGTTCCACAACAGTTGGCTGACTCCGTTGATGGTTGGATCTTCATGTTGATGGTGAGGAAAAGGAAGAGTTATTAATATATATATATATTTATATAGGCTATGTGTGTGTGTCTGTGTAATGATCAAATATGATCAAAGACTATAGAAAGGGACTTTGATATGATGCAGGGCAACAACTCCATAAATGCAGTTATGCCCTAAAATTCAAGATATTGGGCAAAAATGCTCCTGTATGAGTTTTTTTTTGTCTCATATTTATATAAGCGATATCACACGAGCAGCGAGAGCAATCACACGAGTGCTGTTTGTCCCAAATTTGATTTTACACAACAGTTCAGTAAATAAGAAGTTAATATTGTGTTATATTTTACAATATAACACAATTATATATACAGTTATATTATTGGGTATTATATATTATATACTATATCATTGTGTAATTGTATTATTGTGTTATATACAATATAGCACAATATTGTCTGTTTTTGCTGTTTTGCCAACAAAAATTTCCTATAAAGCCACAGCAGAATTGTTGTGCATCTCAGAGCAACACAGCTGTGATTAGTTTTTTGAATGAATCTGCGTTTTGAACGAATTGGGTGAACCAATGATTCAAAAGCCCATTCATAAAGTGAGCCGTTTACTGAATTCCTGAATGAATCAGCCGTTTGAACGAATCAAATGAATGAATGACTCATAAGCACATTTACCGCCACCTGCTGGCAGTTTTAGTTTCTTATTTAGAGTATTATTTCATAAAAAAACACTTTAAAGGAATAGTTCAACAATTAAAAAAATGTAATTATGTCATCATTTACTCAAACCTAAATAACTTTCTTTTGTGGAACATAGAAGGTATTTTGAAGACTGTTGGTAACAAAGCTGTCTTGGTTATCAATGTCTTCCATTGCATGAATGAAAAAAACTGAGATGTTTCTCAAATTATCTTCTTTTATGTTGAATAGTTTATGTTAGGCCGTTGTAGCCAAAACGTGTAATACATTTTATGTTGAATCAAATAAAATATTTGTTTATTTTGTGGGGGAATTTTCACATCCAAATGTAGTTTGCGATTAATTAGATGAATTAATCGGCACATAATGTAATTAATTCAATTAAAAATTGTAATCGACTTACAGCCCTATTTTTTCAGTTTGCTCTATACATGGTCCTTGAAATGCCCTTTGATTTCACAGCTGTAAGTTGTTGTTTAAAAGTTAATTGGGACTTAATTCAATTTGATGATATATTAATATTTGCTTTTCCTTATTTGCCAGTTTGATTTTCCTCTAATACAGTGTTTCTCAACCCTGGTCCTGGGCACCCCCCAGCACTGCACATTTTGCGTGTCTCCCTAATCAAACACACCTGATTCTCATTAGCTCATTAAAAGAAACTCCAGGTCCTGAAATGGGTGTGTCAGATAAGGGAGACATACAAAATGTCCAGTGTTGGGGGACGCCCAGGACCAGGGTTGAGAAACACTGCTCTAATACTAAAATGGTGGTGCCTCATTCTCTTGGAAAATTTTGCTGTTGAAAGGTATCTTTTTCTCGCTTACGTTATTCTCTGTCCAGCAGACTACAAATTACCATAATTTTTTCGCAGGAAACATGTCCTCACTGCGTGCAAGTGCCGGAAGAGCAGGAGATTGAAATCTGCAGCAGGGTATGTTTTTTATATCTCAAATAGGGGCACTTGAGAAAAACAAAAAACAAAAAAAAAACACAATCAAAACTTGATAATGCTCGCTACATCCTGACTAAAGCTCATGACTTTTTAGTATATGTTTTATTGAATGCACAGTATTATTAAAGGTCTTTCCAGCACTTCATTCCATTTGTTTGTACACCTCATTCAGGAGCCAAGCATAACAAAAGGCCTCCACACTGCAGTTGGATGGCTGCGGAAAAACCTCTGTGTCTTCAGAGGTTTGGTGAAAGAGCTGAGGCTCCTCCAACTGAAAGAGGAAGACCAGAAGAAAGCTCTTCTTCAGCTTTCACAGGCTGAAATGTCTGACTACCAGCAACTGGCCAAAGAACCAATTTAAGGATAATATGGACATTTTTCTCGATGAGTGCATGGACAAAAGGGGCCTCAAAATAAATTGCATGTTTCTCTAGTTTTGATTTATTTTAGTTTTTTTTTTTAAAATTTTGATACTTATTGTTAAATATGTGCCTGCTTTGCTTTAACATTTGATTGTTTTATTTTCTTTAGTTTTCTTTATTTTTTTTATCTTTTGCTACTTATGTAAGATAATGTGTATAATGGAAAAATAATTGTATAAATAAATAAATTAAATGTTCAAATCCTCAAGCTTCGTTTTGTCTATCTACCTCATCTACCTATCATCTGATTAAATCGTTATAATAAAATGCTGACTTGACATCAAGGTAGATTAGAACTTTGAAGTGATCCAAAACACTACCTGGCGCTATGCTTAGTAAGATAACTTTTGCTCCGCCCACTTCCGGCTTGACGCTGCTGTCCTGAGAGGTTCTGCGGTTCTGCAGCTGGATGTATCTCGATCTGCTGCGTCATCAGCGCACGATCGTCGCAACCACATGGCAGCGCTGATGATTTTCTCTACACATAATATCTATATTATGTTATATATGAATACAGTATATTAATGAATATGCAAGTGACCTCACTGGTTGTAGGTCTCAAAATGTCAGTATTGTAATAATGTAATGTGTTCACCCACAAGCATAAAATCATTACAATTTAATTCTGATGTACATTATGTATAAAGCAATAAATGAATCTTACATAAAAGACAGGGATATAATACAACATGCTTGTTCAAATATGAAATAAAAGGACAAAGCAAAAGATCAAGTGATGTAACAAAGCTGGCTTCATAATCTGTTTCCCTTTGAGTAATAGGCCTATAACATTGAGATAAATGTGATATTGATATTCTAATACCATCTTGTGCACTTGTCTTTATTTTCTATTGTGATGATATTGATACTTATTTGCATCAATTGTGTGTAGCAATGAACCTTCATTTCTAAAGGATCTGAGGAATGTTGCAGCACTGGTTGATAGGGTGAGGTTTAGTTATTTCTTACATCACCAAAAAATATGTATTGTTATTGTACTGATTGTTCACACAGGTGAGGCTGCATACGGCTTTGATCCACCTTGAATGACGGTTGCCTCTCCCAGTCAATATATAAGAATAGTTTGGAAATAAAAAGACGCTGCATTTTGGCACACACAAAAAAATGCTCATAACACATACACATACATGCACGTCATTATGCTGCTGCTGTCTATATCATGGGGCGAGGCCATAAAAGGGCCAGAGGGCACAGATCCACCCAAGATTCATATTTTTGTTTTCAGCTATAGCAATTGCAAAACAATATGAAGTGAAAAGTAATTAGTAAGATTGAATATATACAGTAAATGAATTTTAACAAATGAGTTAGAAACTAACATAAAATAAATAAACAACTCAGTATCACAGCGGGAAAGGTGTTGATTTGTCAGGGCTGAATTCTGCCTTTAAATTAGGTTATTCACTATGTGGGTAGGTCACATCAATCTCACAAACCACTATGATAGTGGAAAACTACGTAATGTGGTTTAAAAAGACAGGTCCATGCAATTTACGTCATTATGGATACATAACACTGATTTTACCCAAACTGTTCAGACTAAGCCAAATGATCTCAAAAACAATGAAAACAGCAATCCAAACAGACTCTCGATGTGTCAGTTCTGGTTCGTTTTATTACAATGGATGAGGATGAGTAGGCTTTCTGTATAAATCTTACTTTAATTTATCTTTCTGTATTTTATGGCCCAAAGACAGCACAGGAAAGCTGGTGGTGCTGGGTTCTATGACCACTGATTTAAAACACAATCACAATTAGATTGATTTATTTGAGGTTCCCCTGTGTCCTTTATGTACATTTAATGTTTATCTTTAAAAGCCCTCCACTCTTATTCTCTCTTCTTCCTCTCTTTTTCATACATCATCTCCTGCTTTTCTCCCATCATCTCTTTCTACTTCCTCCACTCTTTCTTTTATCATCTCTCCTCTTCCTCCTATTTCTTCTCTTATGTTCATTCCATGCTGCACTTCTTCCAGTAACTAAATTATACATAGAAAAATCACAATTGTTAAATGAACATTTCGTAAATTGTGCTTTGTGAAAGTATGGCTTAGCTGTAGTGTTAACAGCTGAACCTTGAATCAGAGATGTTTGTGTGTAGAATTTTAAGACAATGTTGTATATAATTTGTATTAAATCATGAATCATTTACAGTATGTTTAAGAAATTTAAGAATTGTTCAGATGGCTTCATAAACTGTTTTGAGAACATTGACCAGTTAGACTAAAATAGTCTGAAAAACTGTAATGATTTTGGGAATGTGTCTCATCATAATACAGGTTAATCTGATTGTCTTCTATCTACGTCCATCTATTCAAGGCTAAAAAAATGTTTTTCTCAATGGCAGGTGCACAAAGAAATACTGACGTCATGTGACATGAAAAAAAAAAGAAAAAGAAAAACTGGTTTGAATTATTGTTGGAGGTGGTGTATTGTTTAACCCAACCCAGGGTTTAGAAAAGGTCCACCCACATTTATTAATAGTCATAGACAAAATTGTAAGACCTGAAGTTCTTTCTTCATTGTATTCCGTAACTGGATTAAGCATTACTGTGTTTTGGAGTTTGCTGTGTATCAACATTTTGTCTCAGGTAAAGTTATTTTGCCTCATTTTATCCCACTGCGCTGTTATCACGGTTTCAATCGTCTGCTTTTGATAAATCTAAATTATAAGTAACATATTATTTTGTAATATATCTCATAAAATTTTGTATAAACATCGGTAAACAACTGCTTTTAAATTGTTTTCCCAACTGTTGACAACAAATTCAACTAAATTTACTACAATACTTATAGAAATACATATTTCACGTGTATATGTGTGTGCGCAGGTGTAGGAGGTGCCGTTATTCACAATGAGGTTCATATTCTCATTGTGTGTTTCAATACTGCTACTGTATGGTGAGTGTTTTATGCATCTTTGTATACATTTTCTTGTGGCCCAAAAACGTGAAATGACTATTATCTTTTCAAATGAAATCATTATTATATTCTTTTGCTTTAAAGGTGAAATAATTGCTGGACAATCAACAGGTAATTCTTTCCATTCATTTGCTAATAACAGTGCTTTTAATAAAACTTTCACTTCACAAGTTGTATCACTGGTTCCCATTTTGATCACTAGCTTTTCATTAGACAAAAATTGTTGAGGAAAAACAAAAAGATCTTTATTAGCATGTTATTTCAATAGCACAGAGAATAAGCTGCATTAGCTGAAAAGTATTCAGTACTTCGTTATGCATTGAAATTGCTGGCTAAACGTAAAAGTCTGTTTGGATTGTTGTATTAATTGTTTTGAATTAGTGTGGAGAAAAGCAAAATATTACTTTTACTTAGTAAAATATAGAGTAAAAACTACAAATGCAATCAAAATTACCCCACAACTTAGTTTACTGAAAAGTGCAGTAATTTAAGAATTTAAACATGTTTTCTGTGATTTCATGGCATGAAAGTCTCTAGTATTCCCAGTCCATCCTGATAATGGAATTAGACAGGGTTCTTTAACAAACTGTTTTAAGTTACTCAAAATAAATGGATTGTGAAAAGTTTGTGCTGTGTTGAAATTTGCCCTAAAAGTTTTTAAAAAGTATGTTTTGAGCATGTCGCAATAGTGTATGCAACTAATGGAATGTACTAGTACGTCATGGAATTTCATCTTAAAAACCACATGCTGTAGGTGTGTGCATCCTGCCACCGTAAACCGACCTATCACTCATTTTGTCACAGTTGACATCCTGAGCTACACATTCCACATTTATTTTACATTTTCCACTACCATTTTATTTCATTTTCACTACCCTACAACAGTAGGGCACGTTGGGCTGTTTATATCCCCATTGTCACTGCTAAAGGAAAAGTGATGCTCAGTGTTTAGATTTCAACAACTTCAATAAGCTTAAGGAAATAATTTTCATGAAATTCATACTACAACTTATCTAATTTCAAATAGCAAGCAATGACATAAAAAAGTACATTTTAATGTTCCATAACAGATGACCCCTGCTACAGCTACAATGTGCTGGATGATCCTCGAAGAGCCACCAACAATCAATATTCCTCTGAAATAATGTGTGACTGTGAGGTCAGCTGGAACGGCTGGTACCGTCTCTTCATTCAGGGTCAGAGCGTTCAGATGCCAGACACATGTGTTGATCAGGACAGCTGTGGCACTCATGCTCCACTCTGGCTGAGAGGAGGACATCCAGCAGTTGAGGATGGAGAGGTCACTCGAGATGTCTGCGGTCACTATGACAATGACTGCTGCTCTTTTCTGTCCAATCCCATTAAAGTCAAAGCCTGTCCAGGAGATTATTATGTCTATGAGTTTGTTAAACCAGCTTTCTGCTATTTAGCATATTGTGCAGGTAAATATAATATATTTTCAAGTCATAATTTTATCTATGTTTATTTGATTTTAATCTCTTTCTCCCTCTCTCTTTTTATAGATGTAACAAACATCAACACTACATATACAATTACGACTGGTAATGTAATTTTTTACAATCTGGAGGACTATTGTTTTGCATGTGCAGATCAGATTCATGTTTGTGATTTTATGTAAATAATAACTGTGTGTGAAATGTGCAGTTAAGATTTTGATTCAGATGTATGTCATTAGTATCACTGAGCTGCTTGCAGAATATATTTGCAGCTGATTTCCATGATTGTCAATCACAAAAATTAAAAGGAAATTAATTGGAGTAAAAGTATGTATAGCCTTTTAAAAATGGAATGAATTTGAACGTCAAGAGAAGCATTAAAAATGTTTAATGCTTTAAAGGGGTCATATGATGCGATTTCAATTTTTCCTTTCTCTTTGGAGTGTTACAAGCTCTTGGTGCATAAAGAAGATCTGTAAAGTTGCAAAGACTAAAGTCTCAAATCCAAAGAGATATTCTTTATAAAAGTTAAGAGTTAACCACGCCTACCTAAAACTAACACGCCCTCACATGTCTACGTCACGATGTGGAAAGGTTTGCATAACACCGCCCAAATATTCACGCAAAGAAAGAAGGCGTAACTTTTATTCACGCTGTAGTATTGTTGTTTCCGCCGCCGCCATGTCGTGAAGGCACTGTTTCGTTGTGAAAGCGAAACTACTTTGTTTGGTCTTCCAAAAGAGGAC